TTTACGTGATTGAATTGAATAGACTGGTTCAGAGAGAAGACATACAATTATATGACCCTGAAACCATATAAAAGCCTGGAAAGTAAACCTCCCTTGGACTGACCTTTCCTCACAAGTGTTCCTAGTGTCCATCTATCCAAGAATCTACTGAGAGGAGGAAGACATCTGGATTGCAGGTTAGTTTCTTTGTATATTTGTCTGCTTGCTTATTAAATCTTAGTACTTTTAAATGCTCAGAGAAATAGTGGTTGTGAAAATATAGAGTACTTTGACTTTCTGTTGGTGTAAGAATTTTTAACATTTTAAAGATAGATAAAATGCATTACTCTAAATTCTTATTACATGAAGATTTGAGTTTCAAATTAAACATACCCTAGCACTCTATTTTGTTTGAGAGTCCTGGTGGTTTTCCAAAGTAACTTAAAGACCAAATAATTTAACTGTTCGTTTTTAGATTACATATGTTCATTGTGCATTTATTAGAAACTAGTTATAAACTGTGATAATGAAGCAAATGACCCATTAAAACTGTCCAAGTCATCACCTGTGAAACCACCAGTCTAACATGGGAGATACTTTGTATGTGTTTTAATTTTAATTTGTCATTAGAAATTGCCTCCCCTTGTGTAATAAGTGGAAATTTGAACTTTGAAGAAGAAACCCTACTTTAATCTAGAGCATTGATGTATGTTTGTCAAAGAATCACAGCATGCCCATTCTATTCTTTTGTAAGTCTAGGGAAACTGACTTTCTTCTTTTTCTAATACAGTCGATTGTGGTAGACTGTACAAATCAGAATCAGGCATTCGTGGGTGCAAACCTTAATTCATCATTTGTGTTAAGAATCTAGTTGGAGGCAGGGTCCCATCATGGAAACAGGGGATCATGGTGCACCATGACATCACTTTGTGAGCAGAGGAAAATGATATGGGTTTGAATTAGTGAGCAACGAGGCACCCTTATAGCCAGGTGCAGGAGGTGCATGGAGTAATTTGTCTCTGTCTATATTACATGTTTTACTTATCTTCTGATTCAGGAAACCCAGAATCGATTCCTGAGGTAGTCTGCACTGAACATATCTTTGTTCCAGAGCCACTGAGATGTCTTCTCTCCATTGTGGAGGGAAGGGTCAGCTGGGTGTCTTTCCAAAACTCAGCCTTTCCCACTTCCCAGCAGCTGGTGCTGAAATGCACTGTGTCTCCTCTCTGGCTGCCAAAGCCTGGCCACTATGCCAGCAGCAGCCTTGTGACTGAGATAGAGGTTTGGTCCTTGCTGTGACCCAAATCCTCGTTCCCACGGAGAAACACCCCTCGATTTGGATACCTTGTGGGGCTGGTGCGGGGCTCCTCAACCTGGGGAACACCTGCTACATGAATGCAGCATTGCAGTGTCTCACCTACACACCACCACTGGCTGACGTCATGCTCTCGCAGGAGCAGTCTCCAACCTGTGGGCCCGAGGGCCTCTGTGTACTGTCTGCAATGCAGGCACACATCAGCTGGACCCTCCATCATCCCAGACATGTCCTTCAGCTCTTGGCCACCCCAGCTGGGGACTTCCACAGATACTGGCAAGGAGACACCTCACCCATGAGTTTCTGATGTCCACTCTGGATGCCATGCACAGAGCCAGCCTGCATGGGCACAGGCCCTTCCACAGCCACTCCTAAGCCACCACCCTGATCCACGAAATCTTTGGTGGGTACTGGTGATCTCGAGTCCAATGTCTCCACTGCCAGGGACTGTCAGACACCTTTGATCCTCAACTGGACATTACTCTGGATGTCTAGGCTGCTGAGAGCTTGAGCCAAGCTTTGGAGCAGTTGGTGACGGCTAAAGAGCTGGATGATGACAACTGCTACCACTGTGCGGTTTGTCAGAGGAAGGTACCCACTTCCAAGATGCAGACTCTGCACATGTCCCCCAAGGTCCTGATCCTTGTACCGAAACGGTTCTCAGACATGACCGGCGAGAAGAGCGCTAAGCATGTGCACTATCCCAAGAGTCTGGACGTGAGCAGATGCATGTCCAGGCAGGACACAAAAGTGGCTGTTTATGGACTCTATGTGGTTCTAGTCCGTGTGGGCTTGACTTGCCTCACAGACAATTACCTCTCCTACATCAAGACAGGCAATGGCAAGTGGTATAAAATGGATGATGCCAAGGTAACGGCATGTGACGTGACTTCTTCCCTGAGCCAACAAGCCTACGTGCTGTTTTACATCCAGCAGTGGGAATTGGTCAGAGACCCTGGGAGTGTATCAAGTGGAGGGAGAGCAAGGAATCTCAAGACAAAGGACAGAGACCTGGGGGCAAGCCTAGGCATTCTGGAAAGAGATGCCACCGTGGAAATTCCAGTGTGGCAGGAGGAGCACCTGGAAGAAACAGCCACTGAACCAATGACCTTAGATGAGCGGAAAATGCTTCAAACACAAGAGTGACCAAAGGCTGACTTCCAGCTCAGGGTGACTGAGATTGCCCTGCCCTCTAACACAGTTGTGATTCACAAGTCGAAACCCTTGGGCGGGGTGGGAAAGGAGCACCATCAGCAGGAAGCCCACCAGCTGAAGGATCCGGCCAGGGACATCCCTGCTCAGGTGGCCATCAACTTTGGCAGTGTCCTTTGCCCCGGGAAGGGTACCAGAGGTAGCAAGAAGAAGAAAGGTAAGGGTCCCGAGCAGCTCCATCCATTCCAGTAGGATTCATAGCAAATATCTCTAGGACTGAGTTTTCCTGGAACACAGCCCCAGCATGCCCAAAGGTCCTCACCTCTCCCGGACTGAAGGGAGACCTCTCCTCACTGTTGCCAGGAAACGTGTACCCATGGATGTGGGACTTGCCAGCCACTACAACCACATGAGATTTTCCTTGAGATAAATATCTCTAATATCTCTATGAGCTTCACTGGTTTTGCTTCTCTACAGACCAGCCTAAAAGAACGAATAAATATGGAAAATTGCAATAAAATCATGGTGTGACAAAAATAAGGCTTCCTGCTGGAATGGAAGATGGGAAAGGTACGGACATGCCACATAGTGCTCTCTTGAACATGTTAAGGATGATAACTACCCTATGAAAAGCAGAAGGTTGTTTTATACTTTAATTTTTTTGCTGGGGACAAATAAAGTTTACTTACCTATCAAACTGTACTACGTAATGTTATTGCCTTTTCATTCATAACTGAAGCTTGCATTTCAGTGGAATTCAGGGTTTTCTTTCATAATTCCCTATTGTTACTTTTTTTTTTTTTTTTGGTCTAAATACTGTGAATATTCACTAGTCAAAACAATAGTAAGAACCATGACCTTTTTATTAAAATCTATAAATAAAGTTTTATTTTATTAAAGATATATACATTATGCTGTGGTTTTCTGTACACTTTTTTAAGAGTCTCATCTTGCATTACACAGCCTAGGGCATTGGATCTCAAATGCCTTCTTCCATTGACATCATCTGTGAGGGTTAGAACATCATGACATGTGGGTCCCATCACAACAGACTCCCATTCATTTGTTCCTGGATGTAGCCTCGACAGTGTTTTGAAAAGTTTCCAGAAGGCATCTAACATCTGACATTTGGAAGAAACATCTTTAAAAGAACCACAGTTTCCTAAGTTTAGTCCCTGTTCTGTGTCCTTTGTTAATAAGGGACCCCCTCAAGCTTTGCACAACCCTCTTGGGTTTGTGCACCACCCTGGACCATGAAGCCTCCCCACTGTCAGCCTCTCCACTAACTGCCCCAGAACACACCCAGTGTACCGACTTGTTCAGTTCTCTTAACTGCTTTCCGAGAAGTGGCTTTCTACTATCAACACTGACTCTGCCCATAGCCCTTCTGGTCTCCTTGCCGTCTTCAGTGTTACAGTCATTAACCTGTGTTACAGCTATTTTTAGAAAGCTCCATGCTTTCTCTGTCTCTGCTTCTTCTCTCTGGTACCTTCTCATTTCACCACCCCAACAGAGATGAGATATTAGGGGAGTTTTGCTTTTCCATACACTTTGTAGTTAGTCAAATTGTCTAAAGTGAGAGCATACTGCTTTATAGTGTGAAATACTGTTAAGCTTTGGTTGACAAAAGAATACACACTTTAAGACACCCATGTCATGGTGAGACTTTACATAAATGAACAAATGTGTACACACTGCTTATTAATGTTATATTAGAAAGTAAAAAGTGGAAACTAGTGAACACAGGGATAAGATGGTGGGAAATTCCCTATTTCTAACATTGACAAGATTTCTTCCCTGGTATGCATTTCCTTATGCACAAAAAGGACAATGATGTAAATGAAGGCTTTTGCAAAATGAGAGTCACCAGGTTTCTGCAGGGTGTGACACCTCACAGGGGCCTTGAGGGAATAGGAACATTTAAGGCTTCCTTCATCTTTCACATTCACAGGAGCGATAGTGCAGTATCACACAGGTTTCTAAGAATTGAAAAAGAATCCTAGATTCCCTCAAGAACATGAAATTTGTAAGACGTCTGTCTAGTGGGTCCATGCCCATCTTCAGTGGGGTTAATTAGAGAAGGCTTTCCCACATGCATGAATTAGAATGTCTTTGAAGATATGGGGAGGAAAACAAAACCTTTGCCACATTCTTACAGTTAAATGATTTCTCTGCCATGGATCTTCTTTCAGGCGGATGGAAAAAATAAGTGAACAAAGGTATCCAACTTTACTTAAACATACATTGTTTCTGTACAGTATCCCTCCATGAAGGGTTGCAAAGGATAAGGGACATCTGAAGGCTTTTTCACATTCCCTACATTTATAGAGCCTCTCTCTGCTGGGAATACTTACATGATCAAAGATTCAGTAAGGAATTTAACACATTCTAGACTTCTGTGATGTTTCTCTCCAGGATGATTTCTCATGTATTCAGTGGGGGATGAGAATAACCAAATGTGTTCCCACATTCCTTACAATCATAAGACCTTTTCCTTTGTGAGGTTATTACACTCAGTGAGGACTGAAGACTAAGGCCTTTCCACATTTCTCACTTAAGGACTCTCTCTACTATGAGTTTTCATGTGGCTAGTAAGGCTTGAAGCATGACCAAAGACTTTGCCACATTCCTTACACTGATAAGGACTCTTTCCACTCAGAATCCTTGTATGTTTAGTAAGGTGTGAAGGCTGACTGAAAGTTTTGCCACACTCGTTACATACATAAGGCCTCTCTCGGCTCTGACATCGCATATGTTCAGTGAGGTCTGAAGACTGAAGAAGGCTTTGCCACACTGCCTACATTCATAAGTTTTCTTTCCACTATGACTTCTTATGTGCATGTTATTGTTGTTGTTGTTATGTGCCCAGAAGTCATCTCCAATTCATAGTGCCCCTCCTTGGGTTTCCGAGGCAGTATCACTATGGAAGTAGATTGCCCCACCTTCCTTCCGAGGAGTGGCTGGTGGGTTTGAACCGCCACCTTCTGGTTAGCAGTCAAGTGCCTTAGGCACTATGCTACCAGAGCTCCTTATGTGCATAGTGATGTGTAATAAGCGAGGAAAAGCTTTCGCACGTTCCTGACTTTCATAGGGTTCCTCCCTAGTAAGAGCACTCACAGGAGTGCTCATGTAAGAGGGATCAATGCAGGCTACCCCACATACCTTACACTGATAGGCACTGCATCCAGAGTGAGATCTGTTACGATGCTTAAGTAATGAGTGAGCCATGAGTGTGTTGTCCCACACTCCGGTATTCACACGGGTATGCTGCCATTGGTGTTCGTTTGAGCCCAGCAAGATTTGGAATGCAGCGCAAGGACTGTGCACACTGTCTTCATTACTTTCACAGAGCTGCTCCAGTATAAGCCTTCCTTGGAAAATAAAAAATTTGGAAATGAATTTGTTACCTTTCAGTATTACTATACACGGTAAATCTGTACATTTTGCCCTGAATTGTCTCCTATATCAGAGATTAAATCATCAGAGATGCTACCATTACTCTCACTGTGTTACAAATTGTGGGGCTCTCTAATACTTGCTTATAAGTGAAACATGCTTTGCATCGGGAATATACGACTCACATTTATGAAAATATTTTACTGTGCAAGTTCTGTGGTTAGCAGTCTTCTGGTTAGCAGTCAAGTGTTTCACTATTGTGCCACCTGAGAACCTCACATATATAGAAACATTTCATTGTCCTGAGACCTTCTTAAGATTACCTTGTAAACACTACTGTCTCTTGTGCGAATGATACTCACCTCACATGTGTATCCTGGTTGTTACCCTGGTCTTCGATGCCATATGATTCACTGATCTCTCTTAATGAAAAGGACCAGGTGTCTTTCTTCATGGATTGCATTATTACATGTTTACTGGATAAATTTTCTCCATCATTAAGGTTTTGAGAAACTGACACAATGAAATAAAACAAAAAGAAATTTATTACTGAAAGGGAAATCGTGGCTATGAGCAAAGAAAGACTTTGATACATTTCACGATTTCAGCACTTTGGCAGTGGTCATAAAGTAATTACTAGGCAATGGTTCCATGATCACTGAGAGTGGCAGTGAGATAAATAGCGTGTAAATAAAGAAGGAATACATAAAGTTACTGGACACAATGTACATGGGACATTGAAAGAGGAAAAGGGGACAGTCTTTCCAAGACTGACAAAAGTAAACAGTAACCACAGCAAAACAAGTGTCTGTGTGAATTAATTTCATTCTCTTCAACTCGCAGGAGACTTTTCTAATAGATTCATTCAACTCTCATTGCCCACATGCAGGGCTGGCCCTTCAACTGGGCCTTGAGTTCCTGACGCTTCCTGACACAATGGCCCTGGACGACGCGCTGGCTGCACTCCCCTCAGGTCTTCCACTTGCTGCTCTGGGAGAACACATGGATGTGGCTGACATGGTACCTATTTGTAGAGGCAGAACGTGAGGCAAACAGGGAAGAGCAATGCACGTTTCCCTGACGTTGAGCCAATACTTCAAAGTTCTTCAGATGCTTTGGAAATTGGTAGGTGTGAATTTATTTGCAGAAAAATAATCATCTTGAATTTGTACTAAACATGGTAAGATTCATTTCAAGGTCTCAGACAACAAAGTTTCTGTGTGTGCCCCCAAAGAAACCACTGAAATCAATGTTCATCCTTCCTTACAAAATTTGAAGAAGCTTTTAAACTCAATTCAAGAAAATTCAGGCTAATACACAGAGCTTTGTGTTCATGGGGAAAGTGGGTTCATGCAGGTCTTACAGAACAAATAACCTTAGCTGTCTTTCAAGAACGTATCCCCATTACTCAGCCCAAAAGCTGGAGCAGTCCTGCTGAGTAGGACATAATTGTTCACTAAAGAGGACATACATACATACTCCAACGATCTCATTGCCATCGGTTCAATCTCAACTTACAGCGATTCCCAAGGTTTTCTGAGGTTGGAAATCTTGACAGAAGTAGATTACTCCATCTTCCTCCCACGGAGCAGCTGTGGGTTTGACCTGCTTCCTTTCAGTTAGCAGCCAAATGCCTTAACCATTACACCATTGGAACTCCTTCATATACAGGCACACACACACACGATTCTATCCTTACCGACTAAGCCCAGGTTTCTGAAGGTTTCCACTGTCACAGCTCGGTAGAATTTCCTCTGAGCGACATCCATCAATGCCCACTCTTCCTTGGCGAAGACCACACCCACATCCTCAATAGCCACTGCGTCCTGGAACATCCCACAAACTGCATAAGTAAGGCACCACATACTCCAATGTGTGTGGGAGGAAGGGTGAGGCTGACAGTCTTGGGGAAGCAAACTTTCATGGGGATTTGTCACAGGGTTATGGGTTCTACCAAGGTCTACTCTAGGGTTTAGCCATCAGCCTCATCCCTTCAATGTCTTCATCTGCTTCCTCATTGATTAATTCCTGTCTCACTGACTTAACAATACGTCTAGAATGTTGAGCTTAACAATACTCCCAACATATAGAGCTTACCTCTCCATAGTTTGTGTATTCTTCTCTATCTTTATGGTCTAGAACTCTCAGAATACACAGCAGTAAGTAGAGAAATGCTCTATAATTAAATCTTATTTCTACATTCACATCATCTCTTCCTTAAATGAAAAGAAAACAAAACCAAAAACAATTTGACGACCTTGAACAAAAGCCATCAGAATATTTAACAAAATATGAATGTCAGAGCAAAAGCAGGATGAGATATTAACAACTAGGAAATACTGTAGGACTTCCACTTTTTCCTTCTGACCCTCACCATCTGCAAGAGGTCCATTGTACAAACCAACTGGCAACCCACGACCCTGAGCTCCTCATATTTCCTTAGGGAAATCCAGGTGATTGGGAGCTGACAGAACCACCTGCTGAAGTCATAATATTCTTTGCTGGGGTTATGAACTCTCACTTGTCTATGACCTCTTTTCAGTAATTCTACAGTTGGCCTGTCAGGCACTCTATCACTTCAGGGAGACATGCAAGAGCATTGGCAAAGGTAAATGGAGCTCAGAAGAGATACAGGAAATACGGGAATCTGGATATGACCACAATCTTCAAACTCTGAGATGCAAAGCTAGAACACCAATTATTTATTGACTGCTCCAGTCAATAAACCAACACCTAGACCCGTGTGCCCACCGAGTCTCTGGCAGTCCCTCAGTCACTCTGGAAGTCTTCCCTCTCTGGTCTTAAATAGCACACCCTTATGTTTCCTGATTGTGAATAAGAGGTTGTTGTTGTTGTTATCTGCCGTTGAGTCAGACCCAACTCATAGCAACCCGTTCTTTAGTTTCCGAGGCAGTATCACTGTGGAAGCAGATTGCAGTTAAGATGCCCATTTCCTACTGAACTGGTTGACGTGCAAGAGACTAACCTGTTAAAAGTGCCCGTGCATCCTAGGAAACAGAGATTCACACACCAGCCCTCTACATGCTCCATTCCAAAACTTTCTCACACTTGTAGCCCCTGAGAGAACACAAACATGATTACCTTAACCTTGACTTCCCCTGGGCTGTAGGACCGGCTTCTATGGAATAATATCAACCCTTTGGCCCCGAATGTAATGTGGGGACAAAAGTCTGCCATAGTGTATTTCTGAGGTCAAAATCTTACTGAACAGCCAAGCAGCTGTAGAATAGATAGGCTAAGGGTTGAAGTGAGCTGTCTAGAGCAGCCCTAATCAATCATGGCATGATGGCTTTACAACAAACTTAAACCCAGTGACAGAGTCAAAGGGCTCCTCCAGTGCAGTACAGGGCCAGATGTTTAAAGATATTTAAAATCACTTCTGGTGGCATAGTGGATAAGACAGTTGGCTGCTACTGAGAAGGTCAGCAGTTCAAACCCACCAGCTGCTCCACAGAAGGAAGATGGGGCAATGTACTTCCATGAAGATTTATAGCCTTGGGAACCCAGTGGGTGCAGCTATGAGTCGGTTTCTTTTCTTTTCTTATTTATGGTGCTGATACCACTGGTATAATATATTCATGATAAAAGGTTGCATTTATTGAGCACCTATGATAGGTGAGGACCTTTTCCAAATGCTTTCAACACACTAGCTCATTCACTCCTCAGACCACTCCTACATAGATATTGCTTCACACAGATTATAACTGAGGAAATTTACAATGAATTAATCCCATACTCAGTGTTGGCCAAACAGTATGTTGCTGACCCAGTATCAGAATACGTATCAATGTACCTACTGAACTCAGAGAATTGAGGTCCCTGTGCAAACTGCTGTCCCTTAACTGGGGGATCCACAATCAGATACAGAAAGTCATTCCAGAGCAGAAGCTCAACAGTGGAAACCACCACCAGGACCAGGACCAGAGAGGAAAGACTTGTTAACTTCCAGGACTCCAACCAGGTGCTCAGTGTAAAGATCAGATAAAAACTCCCCTTTGTTTCCAACAGGTGCTGAAGGAAAAGTAGCCCCTTTGAAACTCTCCCAGAGCACTCTGTTCTCCTTCACGAGGCCTGCTCTCAAGGGAAATACTTTCCAGATGTCTAACAGAGTGGGAGCAGTGCAACAGCCAACCTCAGCGCTACCCAGCCTTCCTGTCTCACCACAGTGGGCAGACGAGAAGCAGAGATGCATTGGTGAAGTCACTGCCCAGTGACATCAAAGGATTGTATTTTTCATGTAATAATTTTACAGTCATGAAAACTCCTTCACCTTGATTTAACTTGTCTTACATCAGTAAGGTTTATGGGGTTA